GGTTATGTGCAACTTCGTTTAGGGCATTGCCAGAGTGGTCTGAAGGACTGAAGTGACATTAACTCTACATAGAAGTGGAGCAGTACATAGTTCTCAAGCACAAAACCATCTGCCAAGTGAAGGTTAGTCATTGTCCCCTCCCTCTTCTCTCAGGCTCTTCCTCCCACTATCATGTCCATAGGCTGGATTAAGCTGCCCCTTGGTCAAATGTATCAATGTTGGGGGTGACGGTAGGCTTTTTAATCTCATTTTGGGAGGGATCTGCAGTAACAAACTGAAGGATTGGAGTGGGGCTTAAAACAGCTGTGCTGAGGGGAGGGCAGTCTTGTGTTTTTTTTCGGACACATTGAACAGCTAACACTCATGTCTCTGGCACTGGGAAAGTGAAAGATCCAGCCTTAACCCCGCAGCTCTTAATACATTATAGTATCCAGATGTAAAACGCAGGTGGCCCAGGAAGCCTATATTCCTCATCTTGACCTCTGTAGACAGTGCTTGTCCACTGCTTAGTCACACCACTCCTCTCTGCCCTTCCACCAGGTGGAAACAGCCTCACAATCTGTCAGAGGGAATAGCAGCTCTATCCTTAAGCCTAAGAAACCTAATCCTCTTGTGTGCTGTATCTTACCTACTTACATGGCAGGTATCTGGCACAAGGCCAATAGAACAGGTGGACTTCAGGCCCCCTCCCTTTACCTAACAGCTCAGCTGGGTGACCCCAGAGGTAGTTATTGTATCCAACCTTCCACACAGTCTATTAGAAAGACACAGAAAACCAGCACAGGTACTTTCACTACAAAATAATTTATTACAGCAAACACAGCATCATGAGACTATGTACAAGCACAAAGCACCCCGACTACCCTATTAAGGAACTCTCTTCCTCCCCCTTGCCTTACGGACCTCTTCTATCAGGTCTTTTAGATACTGGATCTCTTTGGCAAGGGAATCTGCCTTCTCTTTCAGGGCCTCATTCTTTTTTTCTAGCTCTTTACACTCGCCAGTGAGGGCTTCCTGCTCAGCCCGCTTCTTCTGGCGGTACCGAGTAGCTGCTGTCTTGTTCTGCTCCATCTTTTTCAATTTCTTATCCAACTTCTCGGTCTTCACTTTAGCTGTCAAACTAACTCCAGGTGGGTCATAAGGTTTGGGTCGAGGAGAACCACGGGGAACACCTGGAGAAGGCAGACTGTCTGGTGGGGCCCTGGAGGTAGAGGGGCTATGCTGGGGAGAGCCCAGGTAGGACTCAGGGCTCATACAGATGCCACTGTCATTATCAGAGGGAGTGTCTTCCTCCTTTACACACTGAGGGATAAGAGTAATATAAGCAGCAGAGTCAGGCTTCCTGTCTCCTTCAGAGATATCAACTTCACTGCCTAGCTCTAAACTAAAGGAATGATCTGGAGTGGAAGACAGAACCCCTGGGGAACAGGGAAGAGGCTGCAAGAATGTAAAGGGGGCAACCTGGTCGATTTTTATTACACTTTCTGGGAGATGGCCAATTGGGTTCACTGTCTGAGGGGGCTCCTTATTAGTCTCTTGGACTAGAGGGGCAAAAAGATCACATGTGTCATCCAACGTGGCCAAAAGCTCATCTGGCATGGTTTCCAGGTCATCCATTCGAAACAGAGCATCGAAGTCAAACTCTTTCAGATCCATTTTCTCCAACATCCAATCTGTCCCGGAAAAGGCATCCTCTAGGGGAAAAAATTCAGGAATTCATGTCATATACTGGAGGCAGAAAGCCATCAGAACACCAGACCCACAGGAAAAGAGCACACTGGGGCAGCTGTCCTACTCACCCTTGCCGGTGTCTGAGGCACTGACCAACCCATCCATAGCCAGCCATTCCGAGGAGCCCGCCTTAGCCTTGTCGCTGGGGAACCCATGAGGTTTGAAGTGCTTGGCCACCTCCAGATAGTCATCTAAGAGACCTAGGCTTTCTTCAGCCCCCAAACCCGACTGGTCGAAGGGGGACATCAAGTCCCCCGCCAACACTTCGCTGTTCAGGAAGCTCATCTCGGTCATGTTGTGGTGCTTTGCTGGAATCGAGGAATGTGCTTAACTCGAAGGTATCTTTGTCCGTTACAGCAACGCTGCTGCTGGATTTCGTGAAAGGCCTGGATAGAGATCCAAAAGCAAGTCCAATCATCTTTCTATCTAAGATGCTGGATGGCCAAATCCCAGAAGCTTCTAAATGGTGAGCACGTGAGGCCAAGGCCATTGTGTAAGCTTCCCCAGCCGCCAGCTCGGGTTGCACAAGATGGAGGCTTAGCTTTGCTTCACCGGCCACCCAGAGGAAGCAGCTTGTCCTCGCGTCCTAATACGGCCAAGGCCGCCGCGCCCCGCCCCCGTGACTCACACCCCCGCCCCATCGCCATCTTGGGCTCGCCACGTTCGCAGGACGATATCGGGACCCCGGAAAGCTCGAGGTGATTAAGTTAAGAAAAGACGAGGGGAAAGCTGCAGGGTTTTAGGCACTACTCCCCCGACGCCGCCCGCCCAGCCCTGCCCGTGAGCGCCGGCGTTTCGGGGTCACGCAAACAAGGCCGACGCGTCCGGCCACTTGTAAAGCCGCGTATGCTGGCCAACGCGCCCAGGCCGCACCCAACCCCAGCAAAGGACACGGCCTGCTCTGTCGTCGGCCCAATACTCACGCCATGGCTTAAGCCGGTGGGGGTTGCCGCTGCAGAGCCTGGTGCTGCTGCCGCCGCTGCAAAGGCCAACGCTGCCGCAGGCACTGCTGCCTCTAATACGCCATGGTGGCCGCAAGCCCTGCGGGAGGGGAAAGAGGAAGGGACCAACAGCAGACACAACTACAACTGGCAGAGAACAAGCAGAAATGGCGGCGGCACGCCCTAAACCCGCCCTTTATAGCCTCGGAGAGAGACGCAGCACACCACGTATCCTCCCTCCATGGTCACGTGACCCTGCCGCAGCTCCACCTAACCGCATCCCTTTGACGCTGTGGCCGGCCCCAACCTTTCTCCGCTGTGCTCGGGGAATAACTGTAGCGTTATAGACTATCCTGAAGGTCCCATGAAAGGAGAAAAGTGCACTACTTTATAGGTTTACGAGCAGCCGAAGTCACGTTCCGGAGTGCGGAGGGATCGCTCCTTACCGAACTTCCGGTGTTTTATAGGGCGGGGAGAGACAACTAGCCAAAGCTATGACGGTCAAAGCCGAAGCTGCCTGGGCATCACGCGAGACGCCGTTGGAGCGCGCGTCGAGCTGATTGGCCCAGGCGTGGCGAGTCATCTAAACCTCAAGTTTCTATTGGCTCTGAACCTGGGCGCTCTAGGAGCATTATATGGGAAGGGAGGAGCCACCAGAGGTTCAGGCGCCAGACTGTCATACCAGCTTCTTGTCAGAGGTCACCCTGATGTAGTTGCGTTCTCTCCGGCATCGCTCCTGTGTAGCTTTGGCCCGGCACGGAGCAAACAGCTTTCCAGGAGTGACCCTTGGGCTGGAAGCCCTCTTTCCCTGTATTTGTTGTTCTCAGAACCGAATGGGCAGGCTTCAGGCGTGTGGAGAGGCCCTCCGGAATTACCTGGTCCAAGCCTTCAGCTTCTTGTCAGTCCAAGGACCGCACTTTGAGGCAGGGCGTTCATGTTGGGGCCTTATTGGGAGATATTCCGGTTCCTCCAGCTCTGCGTCTTTCCTCTGAACCCTGTACTGGAAAAGTATGCCTAACCTCAGGTCTAACCTACTCTAAAACATGCCCATCTTCCCATCATAGAGGTGCTCTCACTGCTGGTTTGTATAGGGTCAGTTCCCTTAAGATCAGGTTTTATTCGGTTGGCTCTCAAGCCCCAGGGAGTTCTGATTAACTCCCTAGACTTAACTTTCAGGTATAATCTTCCCAAGAAGTCATCCTGATGAGTGAGCAGCCACTTAAGTGGTTGGAAGCCCAAGGTACTGGTCAAGGCCAACTCACCATAAAAGATGTTTTGGAAGTGCTGAGAGGCTCTCTTCCCAACTCCAACCTGAAAATCTTTTTGAGTTTCCACTTTTAAGTGACTCACACAAATAAATACCAATCAGCTGGCATAGCGCCTGCCACTTACTGCTCGGTGATTATTTGCAAGCCATGTACACTAGTATACACGATCCTAGCACTGGGATGCCATAGTCCAAGGTCATCCTTGATTATATGGTTATTGATTGCCATTAATTCAAACATAATTCCCAAATAACTAACTCCATGATTCATCCTCCTTCCTCAGAGGACCCTTTATTTACTGAGACTAAACCAACTATAAACAATTATAACGCACAGGCCTACATGATGAGATGTTTTTTATCGCCAAAGAAGTCACGAGTTCCTGTGCACACATACAGAAGTCACCTAGTCTTTGCCACACGGTTACCTTGCTAAGTGGACATTCCTTACAAGGTTGTCCCCTAAGCATAATGTATCCTGCAAATCATGTTTTTTAACCTATGCTGAATTTGTAACCCCAGGATGTATGTATGCCCACCCTTTGCTTTGTTAAAACTCCTGAACCTGTGATACATGACTGCCTTTTGCCACACAAAAAATGTCTCCCCAGAAACCTTCCAGATGACATAAGCTTACACTTCCTTTTATGGCCTCCTGTCTAACAGCCAGTTATCCTGGCAGCTGTTTCCTATCCATGGATCTACCCCACAGGCAGCCTTGAGTCCCCAACTCCTCTGTTTGCTGCTAACAGCCAATTATCCCAACAGCTGTTTTCTATCAACCTTAATGCTTTCCCGTAAAAGAGACCTCTAACACCAGTGAGGGGCTGCTTGGCTGGCCAGTCTAAATAAAGTTTGCTTAACCAGTCATGGAAATTTTTTTTTCTCAGCTCTAACAAGGGCTCCTGACCATATAGGTTGGTCACACAGAAGTTTAAAAACATTGACCCTGATTTGACACTACAGAGATCACAGGAGAATGTCTGGTGGCTTCTTTTTCCCCCATCCTACTCCTAGCACCCATGTAAGAAAATACCTGATACCACATACACACATCAGAATTGTTGGAAAGGAGATTTTATTTTCTTCTTCCCATGCTGCAGAAGACAGTTTTCACCAGTTCAATTTCTCTCCTTCATGGAGAAAGAGGAATAAAGGTTCTCTGGGCCTTAGAGCTAAGCTGCTCCTATACGGACCCAGCCAAGACAGGACACAAAGATTAGTGACTGATTCCATTCTACCAGCTTAACACAATGACCACCACAGAAGGGCAGGCAAGTGACTGGAAGGCAAGCTGTGGACCTGGCCTCAGAGACCAAGGGTTTAAAGACTACAAGGTGATCAAAATAAAAGTTAACACCCACCTGCAGTTAAATATAGAACCTACATGCTGGTATTTTGGACACTCAGTCTGAGAGGCTTACAACCTCCTAGCCTGGTACAAGGATTAACTCTGTTCCCAAGTGCCTCATTTACCTTGGCCTTGAGCTTTATACTAAAAAACCTAGAGCTGTAGCAGACGTTTCCGGTTTTATCAAGTTATAATCCCAAGGAAGTACACCTTGGTAGAGGGCTCTGAGCACATGGTGCATCCTGCTCTCAGGATCCCCCATCCTGAAGCTGACTCATCTTAACCATCCGAGTCCTTCAGTTGACTACAGTGGAGTAAAGTCAGCCAGGGCCAACTCTGGGAGATGATGAGCCACTCCAACAGTTACTCTCTTTATTTTTTCTTAAAAGTCTCAACTGTTAATACGAAGAAAAATACTGCTATCCTGAATTCCATTTTTGGGAAAGGGCAACAGAGAAGAACCAAAATAAACTTGGATTTACTTGGTTACCAGGGTAATGAGTATAGTTTTAGGCATCAAGTATATTGTCTGCTAATCTTGACAATGTCAAAATACCTCCCAGACAGAAGTAGGGGCCTAACAGTGGCATTTCCTCCAGGCAAAGTGGGAGTAACGGAAGAGAAAGGCAGAGTGGTGGCACAGCCAACTGGGTCTTTCAACAAAGTAGAGAGAAGCAGGGCAGACTATCTTTTCTTCCATCCAAGCATCCCAGAGCATGTGGCCTCCCATACTTTATGACAAAGAATGACAGTAAAGAGGGCGCGCCCAGCTAATCCACAAACCCACCAGGATAGAGCTGGTCCCACCTGTCCTTGTTCTGAGGACTTGCTTATAAGATGGCCAAGTCATGATTTTGGTTTTGCAAAGCATAGTCCAAAGTCAAAGCTGTTCATAAAGACAGGTAATAAATTCATTGCTTTTCCTAAATTTACAATGACAAACGATAAATTCATTGCTTTTCCTAAATTCAATAACATATGGCTGTGATTTAGAACTTTTGGAATCTTGAACATCTTCGAGTTTGGGGAATTCATTTGCACTCTTTCTGGCATCCTAAATAGAATCAGTTCAGAGATGACAGCTGAGGAGTCTTATAATACGTATGGCCAGAAACCTGAATCCTATCTAAAATCTGAGTTTGCAGCACTCTGTCAACTCTCCCTCCAACAGGCAGCAACAGGCAGGACCTTCCACATCAGCCCTCCCATGCCTACTCAATCCAACTCAGCAATGATATCTTCAGCTATTCTGTTTTACTAACTACCAGGAGGGCATGTTTCAGGTAAAGTTCTTGGGTTTATCAAGTTTCTCATACTGTCTTACACAAATCAAAAAGAAACTCCTGAAGAAGTCTTTACATGTATGTGGGAAAAGAGGAAGAAAGGCTAAATACATAGCCTGGCTCAGCCTCCTAACCTATGGGGAGAGGGGGCATGTCTCTACCCTAATTTCAAATGGGTTGCTGCAGGGTCAGTGCTATTTATAGTCATTTTGTGTCACCCTCATTAGGAAGGGCCAACACAGCCACAGAGTGCGTCACTAGAATCACACTGATGGAGAGGTAGTAAGAATAGATAAACAAGACAGACCTGATGGGAGAACACAATACTAGACGGGCAAATCAGAACCAGAGTTACTGTCAGTCTCTTGTCAAGAATGGAAGAAAAAGGATACACTGACATGACATAACATGACATGACATACTAAACGCCCCTTCCTCCACCCATCGGCTTACATGGCCATAAATAGCAATCTTAGCAGCAACATGGGAAGCCCCAAATCTTTTCTGTGGGTCTTATCTATGTACTTTCTTCCTAGGTAGCACCAATCTCCCCAGGAATCAAGTGTGGACCAGGGCTGGCATGGTCATATGCGTCTGTCCTGTGGAGGTACCAACGGTGCTCAGCAAACACTCTCATGTCAATGAGGATGAGGTCAGGTAGGAGGTACTGGCACTGGGTATATTCTTGCTCTAAGGCAACACCTAAGAAAGGTATAGCCTGTCAAGAGAGCAAATGTGGTCATGGGTTTCACCTGACACTGCCTCCTTTTGCCTTCCCTTGGCCTCTGTGGCTAAAGCAAGGCCACCTTCAACCAGCAATTAAGGAGAAACCAGCATCTTAGAGATGCTGCCTGTGAAGTCCCCAAGCCTTCCCTATCTGAGTGACTTTGATGACCACATATAGAAACAAACAGTGGGGACACACAGGCTCTCCAAATCAGCTTTAGAACCCTACCCCTGTGCTCTCACTGATAGCCATAAAGAAGCACCTCAATAAACCTCTAATAAAATAGCTGCATTGGGGCCTTCAGTGTGGGTCAATGCACCATCCCCAGGTTCAAACTTCTTAGCTCAGATAAACAGGAGTTGCATAGGGTAGAGATGAGCTTGTTTTCCAGGAACCAGGGACAAAGGCCGATTCCCCAAGGCAGAGGTTCTTTGGCAGCCTCACCCGGGAACCTAAACACTGCAGAGCTCAGCTTGGAAACATGCAATCGCTCTTCTGTGACATCAACTACAGGCAACATCTTCATCAGGCAAATGTGCTCTGGGGATAGGTGCACAAAGAAAGAGAAAGTCAAAGAAGACAGCGAACAAGAAGAGGCCGGGGGCAGAACAGGACACAGCAGACAGAAAAGTAAGAAATCTGGGCCAAAAACAAAACAAAACACCCAAAGGCTGAGGACAGCACTCCACACCTTCTGTTTGTTCAAAAAAAAAAAAAAAAATCAGCCTAGAGTAAGGTGGCAAGGAGGGAGCACAGTGTTTGGTTACAAAAATAGGGATGGGTGGGAAAACCGAAGGGATGTCATTCTAATCAGCATGAAGTGACCAGGACAGTTACCAGCAAAACAGGAGGCACCTAGGGACCCTGTGAGGCACCAACCACGTAGCCAAGTGTTTCTAACGGAGAGTCTGGGCCTTTACCTGCCCTACGTCTGCAGCAGCACCTCCGGCTCAGACAACGAGCTGTAGAGGGTATATCCCAATTCGTCTATCTCTTGAGGGGTGAGCTCTGCAAACAGATTCACCTTGGGGTTCAGGGCACTGGGCAAGACCCCAGCCTCCAAGTAGCTGATGAGTCCCCTCAGGGCCTGTAGAAAGCGGTCAGCCAACATGTCTGGAGACCAGTCAGCCTCCTCCTGGGCTAAGTGGAGGATGACATTGGTTAGCTGGCTGGCAGTGAGGTGGCCTAGAGCTGGAGTGGACTTGCATATGGCCTTGAGGATCTTGAGGCACAGAGACCGGCAGCCGGAGTCCGATTGGTCCAAAGCCCGTAAGCGTGCCGTCTCAGCAGGACGAAGGCTCAGCCGCCACAGGTTGTCATACTGAGCTAACCGATGTGGTCTGGCCACCAAGACCGTGTCACCAAGGGTCACTGATGGCAGGAAGTCAATGACAAGATGTTTGTCCCTCTCATACTGCACTTCTAGTGTCAGGGCCTCTGGGGGTGGTGCTGGTCGGATCACATAGTCTAAGAGGGACCCTATGGCTGGCCAGTTGATGGAGCCTGCCACCACCTTCTCAAAGGTGTCTGCCACTGTCTTTGGGGAAAGATAGCCACCTACAACACAGCGGTCCCAATAACTGCTACCACGAGGAAAGTACTCTGGGTTCTCACGACGAACCAGGAAGAAACCAGGGACATTCATGATGGTATCCTCCCCAGGTATGCATGACCACAGGTTCTGCTCCAGCACAAGGGGGACAATGAGTTGGATATGGTCAGCTGTCACCACCTGCCAGAGCACAATTAGAAAGAGTTGGTTTTGGTTTTGGTTTTAATTCTTTTTTACAGTTTGTGTGTGTGTGTGTGTGTGTGTGTGTGTGTGTGTGTGTATGCACATGCATATGCACACACAATGCTTTTGATGTGTCATGACATGTGGCGGTCAGAGGTAACTTACAAGAGTCAATTCTCTCCTTCAACCATGTGGGACCCAGGAATTGAACTTGGGTCATCAGATTTGGTGGCAAACATCTTTACCTGCTAAGTCATCTCACTGGTCCCAGAATTTAAAGAAAGGTTTTAAAGGACTTTACTATGCTTAAGACATGCTACCTACAACATAGGTCCCTACCATTTTGTATTTGTCAACAATAATGGAAACCAATGGTTCACTTAGCACACACAGAGAGCAGGACAAGAATACAGTACTAGGCAGGTTTCTTAGAACCAGCTACCCTGGTTCAGGGTTTCAATTTTTTGTTTATTTTTGAATTAGGATGTCATATAATCCAGGCTGGCCTCAACTATATAGCTGAGGTTGACCTTAATCTTTTGACCCTTTATCTCCTGAGTGTTGACATGATAGGCTTGTGTCACCACGCCTATTTTATGCAACACTGGGAATTGAACCCAGGGCCTAATATACTACTAGTCTAGACCAACTGAGCTACACCCCAGCCCCTAAAGCATCTTAAAAAGTATAAGTATGATGTAAAAAGGAGAAAGAATGGAGCAGAGAAACAAACACTACTGTGGGGCAGGATTTGTAAGCACAAAGCTTTCTGGTTGAGGCCCAGAAACGATAGCTTTCTTGAAAATCCCCAATACTGAGAAAGAAGCATCTGTCCACACCCAGGCCCACCCTTCCTAAGAACTGTGCTACCTGCAGCTCATCATAGAGGCTGCCACTCAAGTACATGTCTCGAAGCGGCATATCAGGCAGCTTGGCCCGCAGGAAGCTCCGGAGCTCAGCACATATGTCCACCGCAGCTTGCTTGGCCCGAGCCTGCTCTCCAGCAGGGATGGCTGCCCGGTTCCGGTAGTAAGAAAGAAGTTTCTCCTGCAGGGACATGCGGAGTCGTGACTTCTTCAAGTCTACCTGGCCCCTCCTGGCCAATGGTTTGGGCCGGGGTGGGCAGAATGTATCTGCCAAGGCAAGAGAGAGAGGCATATGAACTCTGCCCAAGCTTGCTCAGGCCACAAAAGTCCCAGTCCCAGGAAGGAAAAGGACTTGGCACAAAAGGCAAAGTGCCTGCCATTCCCTACTGAGAAGTGTCTGCACCACAGCAGCTCTAAGTGCAGAAGCAGTCCCAAAGACCTCAAGGAGTTTCTCACCTGTGTCAAAGGCAGAAGAGTCTGTGGGAAGGGTCTGCAGGGACCGGCTCAGGCCTGTCTTCATGTCCTTGTTCAATAGTCGAGGAGAGCCCATCCAGTTTGGCTCCTCCCAGCTCCTCTTCCCTGAATGGCTTAGGCGGGTGGGGCTGGTAGGGGCACTGATTGCCCGGTCGTACATCTGCAATAGCAGAGAAGACCCGGGACATACATATACCAGCCCTCCTTCTTCCACCTCATTCCCAACACCCCTCCTTCCCCAGACTCTTTGCCTTATTAAGTTCAAGAAATTCTTTGTTGTCTTTTGTTGTGAATGCTTGGCAAACATTACTACTGAATTATATCTCCAGGCAATTTTTTTCCACTTTACTACAAGTTAATTTTACTTAAATCAGGACTGTCCAACAAAATCAGTATTAGCCATTCACAATCTGAATTCTAGTATATGAATTAAATTAGGGCACATATAAAAAGGACATCAGACATTTGTTTTGTAATAAAGGTAGCAGTGGTATTACCTATTAGTCTTCTTTTAAAGACAAACTATTAGGTTTGCCCTTTCTCCTTTTTTTAAAAAAAAAACTTATTTATTTATTTTATGTCTTATGAGTACACTGTTGCTGTCTCTGGACACACCAGAAGAGGATTCCATTACAGATGGTTGGGAGCTACCATGGAGATACTGGGAATTAACTCAGTACCTCTGGAAGAGCAGTCAGTGCTCTTAACAGCTGAGCCATCTCTCCAGTCCACAAATGCAATTTTTAACAAAGCATTTTCAGTCTGGTCGGCTGAAACTGTGAAGTGGAACTCATGGACTAAGAGGGTTCTCTTACTTCAGAGGTACTAAACACCACGCACTGTCTAAGTGCTAGCTTCTAGATGTGTCAGAGGATGCAGAGAGAGATAGATGCTTTAAAAAGTAAGAGAAGAAAACAGAAGTATACATGTGGTTGCTATTCTAAACCATTAAAGAAGGAAGGGTAGTTGGGTTGGTTACTGTATTTTACTTGCTGGGATACATTTCTTTACATCTCCAGTGATCTCTTTATGGAGAAGCCTAGAAGCCAGCTACCAGACGAGCAAGTTATGTTCCAATTATGGTGTCAGTCTACCTCAGGAGAACTCTTTGTAGGTAACTTACCACGTCCCATCCTGGGACCAGGCTGCACACACTCACCCGCTTAACTGCCAGTGTGGCGATCCCCAACATGGCTGCTCCACCCACACCCAGCACCAGCCGGGCATTGGAGAGCACAAAATCGATGGCTGTGCCAATGCCATTGTCATCCTTCTTGCTTTTGCGCTCACCAGCGCCTGCCATTTTCACCTGGGAATAAAGACAACACAGCCATCATCGCCTGGGACCACAGAACCCCCTCTTTATGTCCCTCCCCATCACAGCCAAGAATACTGCATGTGAAATCTAGGACTGCATACTATAAGGTCCTGTGACAGGAAAAGAAATGCCAGTGTATAAAGCAGAAAACCTTTCACTGACCTGGGACTAGCGTTAAGTCCATAATCAGTCTTAGTTATGTATTCCAGTGAAGTACTCCACTGTCTTCCTTAGAGTTTTACTGATATGAAAAGGCACCATTGCTGGGCTGTGGTGGTGCATGCCTTTAATCCCAGCACTTGGGAGGCAGAGGCAGGCGGATTTCTGAGTTCGAGGCTAGCCTGGTCTACAGAGTGAGTGAGTTCCAGGACAGCCAGGGCTACACAGAGAAACCCTGTCTCGAAAAACCAAAAAGAAAAAAAAAAAAAGAAAAGAAAAAGCACCATGATCAAGGCAAGTTTTATAAAGGACAACATATATTTGGGGCTTACAGGTTCAGAGGTTCAGTCCATTATCATCAAAGTGGGAGCATAGCAGCATCCAGGCAGGAATGGTGCAGGCAGAGCTGAGAGTTCTACATCTCATCTGAAGGCTGCTAGTGGAAGACTGACTTCCAGGCAGCTAGGGTGAGGGTCTTCAGCCCACAACCACAGTGACACACCTACTCCAACAAGGCCACACCTCCTAATAGTTCCATTCCCTGGGCCAAACATATACAAACCATCACATTCTACTCCCTGGCCCCTAAAGGCTTGTTCAAACCTATGAGTCTATGGGGACCATACCTAAACATAGCATAATGCAAAATACATTTAGTCCAAATTCCAAAGTCCCCATAGTCTACAGCAGTCTCAACAATGTTAAAAGTCCAAAGTTCAAAGCTTCTTCTGAGATTTATCCAATCACTTAACTATAATTCCCAAATCAAGACAGGAAACCAGCTGGGCAAACTCCAAACTCTGCATCTCCAAGGCTGATGTCAAAGCAGTCTTCAGATCTTCAACTCCTTTTTCATCTTTGCTGACTGCAACAAACTTCTTTCTCCTGGACTGGTTCCACTCTCTTTTAGCAGCTTTCCTCAGCAGATATCCTATGGCTCTGGCATCTCAAACATCTTGGAGTTTCCAAGGCAACTTTGATGTTACAGTTTCTTGTTCTAATGTCTGGGATCCACACATGATCTGGGCTCCTCCAAAGGGCTGACATCACTTCTCCAGCTCTGCCTTCTGTAGTTCTCTAAGTTTTGATCCACTCCAATGCTGCTGCTGTTCTTGGTGATCATCCCACAGGACTGGCATTTCCAATACACTGTGGTCTTCCGTTGCAGCTAGGCTTCACCAATAGCTTCTCATGGGCTCTCTTCATGGTGTTAAGCCTCAATTCCTTTGCATGACCCCTTCAATCCTGGGACATCAACTGCAACTGAGGCTGCACTTTCACCAATGCCTTCCTTGGCCTCTCACAGTGCCAAGCCTCAGCTGCTCTCCATGACCTCTTTGTGCCTTCAAAACCAGTACCACCTGGGTAACTCTACACATTACCGAGTCCAGCGCAGACCGAGGTACAACCTTGGCTATCTCTGGACCACAGCTTCTTTGGGCTCTCAGAAAACATTTCCCAGAAAATTTCACATCAGTGATGCTGGTCTTTTCTTAATCATCCCACCAATTTCTTCCATCTAGCTAACCAGCATCAACTGTCCCTGTAGTCTCCTTCCCCTCTTGAATATAAAGCCAGCGATAGAAGGCCAAAGCTGCCGAGTTCTGCTGCTTGCTGGACCTGGAACATGGTCCCCTTGTTCTATTACATTATCACCAGCTTTCGATTTTCCAATTCCTTTACTACCCAACCTTGGCTGTCCCAGATCTTACTCTGTAGATTGACCTTGAACTCAGAAATCAGAACCTTGAAATCTGCTTGATTTTATCTCCTGGGATTAAAGGTGTGCACCTCCATGTCTGAATCTAAACTTAGCTAGGTAGGATCATGCCCCAAAGTCCCACACCCTTAATCAAGTTTAGTATCCTTGAACCCAGAATTCAGCTCCATCTCACTTCCTGGTGCCTCTTTAATACTTGAACTATACATTTTATATTTTTCCTTCCTCAATTTGCTACTCTTTTTTTAAAATGCTCCTCATAAGACTTAACCAGAAAACAGTCTATGATGGGTGTTTCTGAGACTTCCTTTGTCAGTGCAATCAATCTGAGTTTCCTCAGGCAGACTCTTCAGACAAGGGTAAAAATTAGCCATATTCTTCACCAAAATACCACAAAAAACAGTCTCTAGGCCACATACTGAAGTTCTTCTCTACTGAAACCTCTTGGATCAGGTCTGCACAGTTCAAATCACTCAAAGCAACAACATCTTCCATCTTCCTACTAGGATAGCCCATTAATACCTTTTTGAAGCATTCCATGGCTTTCCAAATCCAAAGTCTCCAAATCCACATTCTTCCAAACAAAAAATATGGTCAGGCCTATCACAGCAATACCTCAGTCCCTAGTACGAACTTCTGTATCAGTCAGGGTTCTCTAGAGTCACAGAACTTATGGGTAGTCTCTGTCTGTAGTTCAACTCCCCAACAATGGTCAGCAGCAGCTGTGAATGGAAGTCCAAGGATCTAGCAGTTGCTCAGTCCCACAAGGCAAGCAGGTGAAGACGAGTGAATCTTCCTTATGTGGGTCTCCAGCAGAAGGTGTGGCCTAGATTAAAGGTGTGTGCCACCATGCCTGGATCTGGGACTTGCTTCATCCAGATGACCTTGAACTCAAGAGATCTCCTTGCCTTAGTCTCCTGGGATTCATAGCCACTATCCCTCAAGATCTCCATGCCAAGATCCAGGTCAGAAACTTGTATCTCCCAGCCTCAAGATCAGGATCACAGGTGAGCCTTCCAACTCTGGATTGTAGTTCATTCCAGATATAGTCAAGTTGACAGGCAAGGTGACAGACACTTGTAATGGAAGCCATATTAAAAAAAAAAGGACTCATTGTCAAATCCAAAGATACTCTTTCCCTCACTATGCCCACAAGACAGCACTTTCCTCTACCTTTATTTTCAATTAAAGCCTTAAGTTCAAGGATACAATGAGAGATTATTTGGCCAATTAAAATATATTCCTCAAATGCTCAAACGCACAGTGAAACCAAAGAAGAGTTAAACATGGCATGTACACATGGGGTCAGGTAAGACAGATATTCACTGTCCTTCCAGCTGCCACTACCACAGAGATGGGATACATGCCACAGCAGAGGCAGAGAATTCTGATCAGGAAAGACAGAACACTCCTAAGTCCACAAATGACCTCCATTTTAAGAAAAACCTTTACAGGCAGATTTACAACACGGAGAAGCACTAGATGCAGAACCCTCTAAACCATCCTTTAAAGCAACAGCAAGTCGGAGCCATCTGAGGCCTCACTGATGAGAGTCAAGTGAGAATGTCTCACAAGATCACAGTGGGTACAGTGTAACAGTAAAATATGGGTTTTAGAGTCAGGAATCCTGAGACCTGAGTACTTGCCTTGGGCCTGAGCTAATTTGTCGGGTGACCTCAAATGGGTCCCTTAACCCCTCAGCTATGATTACTTCATGGGCCAAATCACACGGCTGTAGTAAGGAAAAGCACTAGTTGGAACAATGCATGTACGTACCTCATCCACTGTAAACCCAGCCTCCAAGGGACAGCCATCATTAAGTCAGGATTTCTATCCAAGAGAGAAGGGCTACGACCAACTGTCCAGCTACACTGCGTGTTTTAAGATGAAGCTCAAACAGCCTCAAGAACACTGACACTCTGCTGGCTTGAGATCAAAACTGGGAAGCAGGGCAGGCAGGCTTGTTAAGAGCCTCCCCAGTAATCTAATTCAATACTCACCCCCACCCAAGGACTAAGTGCCACACCAGACCTGGTGTCCTGGAAGAGAGCACCCACAAGCTCACAGGGAGACAAGGTCTCTAAACCCTTCTCATTCAGGTTACTGTCCCTCCAGCATCAACCCTGATTCTACTGCCTCCAACCTCCAGTAGACATAAGACTCCTCCCCTGACAAGGAGTCAGACTTGGCTCCTCAAGGCAAATAAGGAGGAGCGCTGTGTTTAATAGGTTCAGTTTCAGATTAGCCAGTTTAAAAAAACAAAGTTCTGGAAACCTACCTGTTGCATGATATTACTGACCTATGCACTTTAACCACCTAAAATGGCTTAAACAAAAAAAATAAATAGAAAGAAAACAGTAACCAGGAGAGAAGGAGGCTGGGAGAACTGTGTTCTGTAAACAACGCAAGCAAGCTTTATGTAAACTATTTCCCTAGACACACGGATGAGACAGTACCCGTGTCTCTGCTCAGTGAGGGCGTTACTGCAGTTCCTAGCAAGACAGAATAAATGCAGACATTTCCATAACCATTTCCATAACCATGTGCAGTCTGAGTGCATGTGACAGTAACTAGCCCACAGTGAATGCAGTGGTTCAGCAAACAACACCCCAAAAAGCCTCAGAAGCAGTTTGCCTCTGGCCTTCTCCCACCTTCCAACCTTCCTCCCAACTCTCCTCAGAGGCAAAACATACAAGTAGCAGGGAATGTAAGCCTTTAATCCCAGCACTGGGAAGGCAGGTACAGGCAGATCTCTATGAATTTGAAGTCAGCCTGGTCTACAAAGTGAGTTCCAGGCCAGCCAGTGCTACATAGTGAGACCCATCCCAAAATTAACTAACTAGAACTTAGAAGTCATTTCCCTCAAAGCCAATCAAAAAATATCACACTAGTGCTGGGAATAGTTCAGTGGTAAAGCATTTGCCTTTCATGCTCAAGGCTCTGGGTTCCATCCTAGCATCACCACCCAAAAAAACGAAGAAAGGAAAACACTTTGGTTTTAACTCCCTTTCCCCTACATTTCTGTGTAAGTCTGTAACCTCCCTGGTTGACTACAGGTCTTTCTTAAGACTTCTATTCAGGAAAGGGATTTACCCAATAGCTGACAGAAAAAAAAGACACAACTTAGGGGTCAAAAAAGACCTGAGAGGACAAGCAGGCCTCACTAAGCGTCCTTCTCAATTCGTCGTTAGATTATGCACTGCGCCGGGGCCTCTAGCACACAGCTATCCATTACTGAGCCTAAGCAGAAACCTCAGCACCGCTCCTGATCATGGGGCTTCATTCTGAGTGCTCCATACAGGTTGTCAACCATGAGTTCCTCCCCAGAACCATGTTACCCAAGCTGCCCTCAAACTACCTATGTAGTCAACACTCGCCCTGAACTCCTGACCCTCCTGCCTCCTCTCAAGTGGTATGATTACAGGTATGTATCACAATACCTGGCTGTTATCTTCATTTTAAAGATGAAGAAACTAAGGTACACGTTCAATAACTAGCCCAGAGTAACTTACATGTCAGTAAAGTGTGCAGCCAGGGTTTAATCCAGAGCTTCCACTGCTGGGAGAACCAATCCACAGGACTCCCACCAGGCAGTGACACCACACAACCCCTCTAACCACTAGACTACAGCTTCATGGGAGCACTCTGGCACATTCCTGCTATGAGTGTAATGGTTGACAAGTTTTCTACTGTAATGAATGAACTAACCCTGTGGCATTTGAGCATTTTGTTTTGCTTTATTTGTTTCTTCCAGATACAGGCAATTGTTTAGCCTAGACTGACAAATTTACTACCTGTCCCAGGCTTTCCCAAACAGTCTGCTGTACAGCCGAGGATGGCCTGAAATTTAATACCTGTCCCAGGCTAACTTTGAACTTGTGGTCTTCTGGCCTTAGCTTCCTGAGTACTGGGATTGCAGGTTAATACCACCAAACCTAATTATTCCCTTGATGGCAACATATAGCACAACTCACAATCAAAACATCAGAATCCATTTCGGTAACTCCCTCCTTCTTCAGACCCACTGCCGTTCCCCGAGCAGAGAAGACTCCATGGGCATCCCCCAATGCTGGTCCTGTGCTGCCCAAGGCCAGTCTACCAATCAAGTGTGGCTGAGAACTGAAGACACTGTAGGTTCCTGCTTTCTGTCTCAGCAAGCATTATCCTCTACCCAACAGCAAGCCTTATACCACAGTTATACTCTGTGCCTTTCTTTCCTTGTTTTAAAACACCATCTGTGTTGCCCAGGCTAACTTCAAACTGAGGCTCCTCCTACCTCAGTTTTCTGGGTACTGGAATCACCAGCATGCTGTACAACCATGCGCAAGCTTCATGTGGCTTCCCTTCAGCCTCTTTCGCCTTCTCTGTCATCCAGCTAGCCACCAAGTCCTGCTGCTGTCTATGCTGTCATGGCACACACGTCGACTATGCTATGGTCCATATGGCCAGCTCACTACTGACCAAATTCACTGCCTCTTAGGTCTCTCACCAATTTGTTCTCCACACTACCCTGGCAGTCCAAGACAGAAATGTGATTGTCACTCCCTTCTTAAAGCTGTGATGAGCCAGGAAGTGGTAGTGCATATCCTGAATCCCAGCACTCAGGAGACAGAAGCAGGTGGATCTCTGTGAGTTCTAGGACAGACAGGGCTACACAGAGAAACCCTGTTTCAAAACAAACAAAAGCAAGAAAACCAAAGGCTGTGATGGTCCCCCATTCAGACACTAAGGCTCCATAACAGGAAACTCCTTCCATTCACAGCCCAATGTCCACTCCATCACACTCCTTGTTCCATTCTACCCACAGCCAGACACGTCCAGGGCACCAGGCGAAGTGTCCACCTGGCCATGTTTATGCTCTCTGCACCGCAGCAAGCTTCTGCTTCTCATTTGAAGCAGACCTCAAACATCTTTTCTGTAACTACCACAAGTCTCTCCTTCCAACCAAGAGAGCCATCTTCATTCCTATCTCCACAGCTTTTTATACCGTGCCTTGGCATAACCCTGTTCTTATCTGAATTACTGCCCACTGAATTCCTCCTTAGTTTAAGGTTGTTTTTTGTTTTTAAGATTTATTTTATCTTATTGTCTATGCACCATGTGTGTGTCTGATTCCTATGGAGGCCAGAAGAGACCATTGGATCCCTTGAAACGGAATTAATGAACAGTTGTGAGCCATCTTATGAGTGCTGGGAATTGAATCTGGATCTTCTGCAAAAACAAGTGCTCATAACCACTGAATCATGTCTCCAGCCCTAGTCTACAGTTCTTAATGGACTCTTTCTTCTCTATCCCCAGAGCCTAGGCATCTAAAGGAACCTCTGAAAGGTTCCTGAATTAAACATGGCCCTTATGCTGCAGTGGAGCTTCTTGATGGAATAGAGAGAGCTAAGGTCAGTGAGATGCCTCAGTGGATAAGGACAGTCGCTGACAAGCCTGAAGACCAGAGTTCAAAACTCCCAGAATCCCCAAAATAGAGAAAGAAACAGAGCTTCCACAAGTCTTCTGACCTCCCCATGCATGCTAAGGCATATATACCCACACCCACAATAAAAAATGCAACTTCAACTTTACAAAAGGGCACAAGAACACAACTACTCGTTTCTAATAGTCTCTAATATATGAGTCTGTGAGATAAAACACCAGAGCTCTGTTCTGGTGGGGCTCGAAAATGTCCCACCTGCCACACACCACTTCAGTGACGTTAGTACACAGTCTGGGTCTATTCTCACCCAACCCAGAGGTTAAGGACTATTATCTCTACTTCACAGATGAAGTCCTAGGAAGGTCTAGAGACTTGCCTGTATCCCTCAGCTACTAGTTAGCAGTGCAGGATTTGAAAGCAGGCACTAAATATGATTGCTATACTAACTATTCAGTAATGATAAGCTTGTGTTTGTTTCAGCAAGCATGATGTGATACAGTATAACTGAGCAGACAAACTGGATAGGAACTGAACTCTAACGATCTACCTACCTGAGGCTTCCTAATGCATCTGTAAGGTGGGGGGGGGGGGGTAGCCAGGAACGTCTACTGAAGGCACCTTTGTCCTCTTCTTGGAATTAGGGTAGGAGGGGAAGAGAAGATCCTAAATAAGGCCTCCTAGTTTGCTTTGGAGGAAGACCAGGCCCTTCTCCAGCTGCTTCTCTCGAGCCTCCAGATCCTCAAGCTTCTGATTTTTCCTGAATTCTCGGCGGATGGAAGCAAAGTAGAAGTCTCTATCAGTGTAGCGAAGGTCTCGGCCTTGGCGCAGTAGAGCCCGGTACAGACGCAGCACCGCCTCTCGGCTCCACGGGGCCATGGGGGACTGACAAGGACTAAGTATCACACTCTAAACAGAAGAGAAGACACAGAAGAGTCAGAATTGATGATAGCAGGGCCTCTTAAACACTCAGGAGGGGGGGGGCAAAGGGGGGTCAGAGGTTCTTAAAGGCAGATTCAGAGACTTCTAAGGATTCATGGCAAAGCTGGGATCAGATTCCTCCTTGTTAACAGCCCCTCCTGAGGAAGTTCAGTTTAAGGCTCACCAGGGTTCAAGATGTAGAGCTTGAGTCCTGGCTGTGCCATCCCACTGCCAGGGCACTTAGTATAAAGTACGGTGGGCGTCAGCTTCCTCACTGTAACACAGATAACGATGACATCATGCGAATATCTACCATGTGAGGTTATTTTGAGAACTGCTCCTAAAAAGCACCTGGAACAGAACTCTACCAGTAAGTGTGACCTAGAGCGGCTAGAGACCAGGGTTTAGCTCTATCTGCATCCTGGTACCACCATCTAAGCAACATTACCTTGAGTGGCTTTGTCGTCGTTGTTATTACTTTTTTCTTTTATGTGTATGGGTATTTGCCTGCATGTTTGTCTACATGCCATTGTATGCCTTGAAAGTGTCATACAGTGTCATATTCCAAGACTGGAGTTGTATACACAGTTGTGAGCCACCACATGGGTGCTGGAAACTGAACCTGGGTCCTCTGGAAGAGCAACCAGTGCTCTTAACCACAGAGACATCCCTCTACTCCTTTGTTTTTTTGTTTTATTTTCCTTTTGTTTAATTTGGTTTCCTGAGCTCTCTATGGAGCCCGGGCTGTCCTAGAACTCACTCTGTAGACCAGGCTGGCTTCAAACTCTGAGATCCACCTGACTCTGCCTCCTGAAAGCCGAGATTAAAGAGTGTACCAAGTATGTGACGACATGTTCCCAAAAGGAAGTAATTTGCCCACTCACCACAACAATCCAGACCCTAACTCGCTGAAATGAAGGGGTCTTGCATGTGTGCGCTTCAGGGTGTTCAGCAAACTACCAGCACAGGGCCCAGTGTTCACCAGGCTCAAAACTATGCTGGAAGGAGGAATCCTCCCGATAACCCCATGTGGAAGAAACAATTGCTGTATGAGCCTGTATGTGTTTGAGGGGGTGAAGGGAGTACCTGGATGAAAAATAAAAATGATCTGGACTTTGGGCTCCAAGACAGAAGCAGTAGCCTCTGACCTCGCTAACTTGCTGCGCGAACCTGGGCAAACCACCGTTGTCCCTTTTTTTTCCTCAACTGCAGAGAAACTCCCTTTTGGCCCTGAGGGTCTTCCGTGATGCAAAAGATGCAGAAAAACAACGAAGAGCTGGAAGGAGAACGTCACGCAGGGGCTGGAACAAGGTCGCTGAGTGACCGACTATAGGCTCCGATCAGGGTACAACTCCCAGAGGACGGGGACGCAGACCCCGGGGCCAGGCTGGCTCCGTAGCTTGAGGAAACCGGGTCTTGAGCCGGGGCAGGGCGAAACTTGAAGGCCCCGGTGGGAGCCGGTAGCCCCGACTGGCCCAAGCTCAAGCGGGCGATCCCCGGCCGCCCTCATTCGCTCCCTCACTCACCCGCGGGCCACGCGCTACCTTTCCTCAGGACTCGCCACTCGCCCCAGTACCTCTCTCGGGGTCACCCATCAACATGGCCCCTTTACTTCCGGGGCATGACCTCGCTCGCGGAGCCGACAGAGACTCGACAGGGAGCGCGGAGGCGGGCGGAGGCGGAAGCACTTCCGGTCGGCCCCTCCGCAGCCTCCCTCCGGAGGCGGAGCCGGGAACTTAGTCCGGCACTGCCCATCGTGGGGCTCCGCCCACATACGCAGCCCCTCCTCCTGAGTGACGTCACCCAACCCCACAGCCCCTCCTCCTAAAGCGTTACCGTGCAGTCCCTGTGTAGGCTCAGCGCTGTGTGGGTGTGGGTTATGGCAGGGGCAGCGAGTCCTTCACCTGCTGCCGACGTCCAGCCTGCGAGGGGCTCTGACCACATGTGGAAATGGAGTTCAGGAGTTTAGGAATCTGTCCCCGCTTCAGTTTGGTAAGATGATAGGCAGTTAAATTCAGCAATTACCACTGAAACTGGACCAACACCCAAAAGTTGCCTCCTTGAAACACTTACGGTGTTCCAGACTCTGAATTGTATACTTTACACTGCATTTTGTCCAACCTAGCCTCCCAATTTGGTAGACTTCATTATTCCAGTGTTATAGATGGGAAAATCGAGGCCTAGGGAGGCTGGGTCGTCTGCACTGAGAGCTGAACCCGGCAGAGGCTCACAGTGAGTCCCAAACTTAGTATTCTTCCAAAGTGTGTAGCTTTCCATTCTTCTAGGCCGCCCTACTTTGCTTTTTAAAGAAATAATTTTGTGACCCAAATAAATCTAGTTTGTGACATTTGCAGCTAGAAGACCAGGTAAACCTATCCCTCGGGACTGCCTCACCAGTAGAATAGTTTTCTACTTGCAAAGGACAAGGAGACCCTTTGGAGGAGACCTTAGGATTAGCCACTCACACACAGAGTCATCGTGGATGTCACGGTTGCCTTCTCCAGATTCACTAGCTTTCCCACGCCCACCCCACTCCTGCCCCATACTCCCAGTGTAATGGGGGATAGACATTAAAGTGTCTTCTGGCACCCACATGTATCTGTGTGTTTTGGAGGCCAGAGACCCTCCAGCTGAGGCACTGATGCAAACCTCATGGTTCTGCCAGGTTTCACAGATCACAGGGACTCTGGGACCCTCTGCACTTGGTACAGGATCAACATCACCTCACATGATAAGGTAACAGGTTCTCTGAGGAATTGCAGCTCAAGAGGAACATTCATTTACCCAGAGCACAGATTCATGTACAGTAGGCATTTCACTGGTGAATGGATGAACCAGAAGGTCAAAGGTCGAGGGTCAGGATGATCAAATCTGTCTGATTTGGAAGGGGCCTTTGTGCTGGTGGTAGACTTGGGGCAATGGGTTTAGTCTCCTGACCCTTGCTTTTACTCATCTGTGAATGCACTTGCCTAGCACACACATTGCCCTGGGATCCATTCAGTCCTGAAGGAGGACAAAAAGGATGACCTCATGGGACTAAAGATTGAAATTAAATGCCAGAGAGCATGAAAAGGTGGCCATTGAGGTTGGTGGCTTTTATTAAAATAAAACATCATTCTGTCATTCATGGGTAGGCACAAGGGGATATGGAGCCAGGAAAAAGATTTTGGGGAAAGGGGGCTGGAGTGAGGGCTCAGCAGTTAAGAGCACTGGCTGCTCTTCCAGAGGACCCAAGTTCAATTCCCAGCACCCATATGGCAGCTCTCAAATGTCCAATTATAGGGCTTCTGAAACCCTCACACAGACATACATGTAGTCAAAACACCAATGCACATAAAATTATATATATATATACACACATATACATATGGAAATATGTATATATGGAAATCCAGGACACTAGTTCTGGGGTGGGCCCTCAAGGAAAGTCTCAATCTGAGGTACCTTGGAAAGTCTCTGTGACCATGGGTCTAGAAGGCCAAGGCCAAGACAGGATGCTGGGGGGGGAGGGCATGGCAGTTCAGTGAGTAAAGCACTGTCCTGAGGACCTGAGCTTGAATTCCCAAAACCCATGTAAAGCCTGATGTGGTATCATGGGAGTTTAATTCCAGTGTTCCAGTGGGGAGACAGGAGCAGGAAACAGGAGAAAACCTGGAAGGCTGGAGGCGGGCTAGCCTGGTCTGCACAAAAGGGAAAAATAAAAGGCCCTGTCTCAATTAAGGTGGAAGGTGAGGACTGTCATTCCAGGTTGTCCTTTGACTTCTACATAGGTGCCGTGGCTCCTGCATTCACATACACACATGCATGCACGCACACACACATACACACACACACACACACACACACACACACCCCACAAAGGCTTTGAAAGTGGACAAGATCCAAGTATGGATCTTTAATCCCAACATCTTTAATCCCAACATTCAGGAAGCAGAGGCAGGCAGATTTTTATGAGTTTGAGGCTATCTATCAAGTCTGCATAGTGAATCCCAGGCCAGCCAGAGCAACACAGTGAGACCCTGTCTCTAAATAAATAAATAAATAAATAAATAAGAAAAAAATTTTTTTTGTTTTGTTTTTGTTGGTTTTTTCGAGACAGGGTTTCTCAGTGTAGTCCTGGCTGTCCTGGAACTCACTCTGTAGACCAGGCTGGCCTCGAACTCAGAAATCCACCTACCTCTGCCTCCCGAGTGCTGGGATTAAAGGCATGCGCCACCACGGCCCGGCTAAGAAAATTTTTAAATGAACATGTTTTCCTGAATAGCTGCCCTGTGAGTGCTAACACTATTGCTTCTGGTGTATTCAGTATCTGCTTCTGAAGCAGATGGAGATACAGACACAGAAATCAAATGCAGTCTCTGTCTTCCTGGAGGTCACAGTCAAAGGGCAGAGATAGGTATACAGACCACTGTTGTGTAAAAAAAAAAAAAAGCCTTCACGGGTTCTGCCGAAGTCCAGCAATGTGGTAGGTACAGGGTGGGCGACTGGGTGAGACATGGGCTGAGGTAGCTCGGAGAGAAAACCATAACTACTTAGGTGTGCTTTGTCTTGTTCTGGATCAGTCTTGGGGATGAACCCTGCTCCCTGACAGCCAGGAGACATCTGCAGGGGCCTCAGGACATCTGGGCCTTGGTTTCTACACCTCTAAATAGGCTGGTAGGCAAACCTGTAACCCAGCCACCTAGGAAGTGATGGAGGAAGTCAGGATTCAAGGTCATCCTTGGCTACATACTGAGTCCAAGACTAGCCTGAGCTACATAAGAACCTGCCACAAAACAATGACAGAACTCCCAGAACTTGAAATTGACTCACGTCAAATCAAGAGGGAGAGGCGAGCTAGTCAGGTGGGTTATCTACAAGGAAGATTACGCCTGTGGCTGAGGGGTCCAGTGCCCGGTGAAGGCATAGAGCCTGCATGAACCTTGTGCAGCCTGTCCAGACCACAGCCCCAATCTCAGCCCTGATTCTAACAAAAGTGAGACAGTTAT